ATACAAATGAGACGGGTAAACCGTAAGATGCGGATATAACTCGACGACAAGTACGGCGGATGTAAGTCACTGATGAACTAGTTTTCATAGTCGCCGACGTGTCTCGCGATGCTGCACCCCCTGACCTGTCCTATCTACCGACCGCCGGATAAGACAAACTTGTGTTATCGTCAACACTCATGAGTGCGACGGTGGACAGCTGATAATCACGACCGGATAACGTGCTAGTTCACTGTAAATGGATAGTGCGCTATTACGGGCCGTGTCAAGTGTTTTACAAATGTCTTGTGTATACATTAGTCTGGATCCGGACGATTAATTTTGGCCAAAATTCAAATTGGTAAACAATCATCAAGAAATTATTCTCACTGTCGATTTACTACATAGAGTTTATTCAATTTACGTATATATTTCATTGATAACGGAACATGTTATATTCAAATATTTCATATTTGAATTTATCTATATTTCAATAACCACGATTTACTAAAAAAATATATAAATGTTTTACTATAAAAATAAAGTTATAATAATTAATATTGCTATGTAACTAATAAAATAATAATAATACAGTCTACATTTGGTATGTTACAGCTATATTCATCTAGCTCGTCTTCACGGTTTCCATCCGAATTATCAATACCATTAAACAATAGAGATTCAACATTTATACACCATGTAAGATATATTATTCTATTAGACTATTTGTAGACTAAGTTGTATAAGCGACACTCATGTTAATTTATTTTTAACCTAATAACATGGAAGTGAACTACGGATATCTTATATGAACCAAATTTGAATATTTTCGGATAAGTATATTTTATATTTTAATTTAAAAAATAATGATTACTAAAAATATATAGTATAATTTATTAAAAATATTGCCATATTTTTTTGAAAGATGGTAATTTTTCTATATAGATATATGTTTAGAAAATAAAATTTTTTTAATTTTTAATGAAGTTTAAAGTTTCTTACCTTTAAAACATTACTTTTTGAGGAATAAATAGTTTAAGATATGGTAAGGACAGTTGTAGTGGTTAGTAAACATTAATGTTTTATCAAATTATGCAGATAAGACTACTACTAAAATAAGTATTAACCTTGTCTATACTTAAAAATTATAAAATCTCAAACAGAAATATTTTAAAACTGGTTACAAACCAATCAACATTTTATTTATTATATTATATTTGTAATACTATAAAAATAATTATAGTTTCCTCTTTAACTTCAAAATCATCCCTAAATTTATTTTAGAAATAATTTAGTTTACTATAAATGTGTATATTATATACAATGTAATATTTATTTGTTACGAGTGTAACAAAAAATAGTAATATATCACGAGCACTTTATGTAATATTGATCTAGTTTCATTACGTCTACATAAAATTTATAGATGAAAATAGTCAAAAGATTGACGACGCTCTATTATACAATAGTCGCAGAATTTTTTGAATTTTTGAGGGTAATATTTTTAACTAGTTAAATACTAAATACTAGTTAATCATGTGACGTATGATTGAACAAAATTGGTCAAGTAAGAGCTGGGATAAATGAATGATAGACACAAAGAAAACCACATAATAAAATAATTTTAATATGAATTAGAAATTCCATCTCACAGGGTAGACTACAGTAATGAGGTCGTTGTTATTTATTCAATATAAATAAAATAAAAACCAAACAAATTTTGAATATTTTCCAACTCAAAAAGAATTTTAAAAAAATGTCAGTTTGACAAACATGGTTTGATCATCGTACCCGGGTGTGAAAAACTTTAGTGTTACTGTAGTGGCAAACGTACATGTCATTTGACGGTAGTTAATGAATATTTCGTCGACTACGAAATTTTCAGTATCAAAAGTGACGCAAATAGATTTAAACTTTAAAGATTTTCGAAAATTTTACAACGTTGCTGAAAAAACTTCATCATGTCATCCATAGTATATCATAATCGATTATTGTGATATACTATTTTCAGTAGGTGTCTCGTCATCTTATCGAGTACACGAGAAGTAATATAATAAATATAGTTTAAAAAAACTAAAAAAACACGCTTTTAAAGCACATCGAACTAAAAAGTTAATAATAATTTTTAAAATAAGTTTAAAATAATTATTAACAAAAAATATTAGTATTATTTAAGCTTATTTTAAAAATTATTTTTAATTTTTTAGTTCGATGTGCTTTAAAAGCGTGTTTTTTTAATTTTTTTAAAACTATATTTATTTTTTATTTTTTAGTTTCATGTTATGATAGTAGTTACCATCATTCAAATCGGGGTTCGATTCCGGGGAGGGAGTCTTAGAAACGGCTACCACATCCAAGGAAAGCAGCAGGCGCGTAATGTGGAGGTAGTGACAAAAAATGACGATACCAGAATCANTAGTGACAAAAAATGACGATACCGGAATCATCCTTAGTAATCGGAATGAATACACTCTATATCTCTTAATGAGAATAAAGGGTGTTAATATATATTTTTAATAGTAATTAAAATATATATATACATGTAAAGCGACTGAAGTACGTAAACGTATCATGCACGAGGTATAGATGTGTTTTGTAAACGGGCGGGGTGCAGGGGAACGTTGTAAGCGAGTGTGGGTGGGATGAATGCGTTACGACTGTCTAGTCTCAAGGCCGTAGACACGTGTGCGTGGAAAGTTACAAATAACTCACACTCACAAACATCCCAAAATACACAACATACATGTGAAACTAATATATAAGCGTGTTAAAAAAGGATGCTTATCCGGAGAATATAGCTATTTAACTAGACGGTCGTCTACGCTTAATATTTTGATTACCTTAATATTTTCTTTAAACATATTTTAAAAAAAAGTTTCAAAGATAATATTGATTCATTATTCATAGGTCGAAATGTGAAGTAGCTTTAATTATGTTTAAAGATGTTATATATATTAATGTAAATGACCAATACATTCTGTTTTTGTTAGTTTGACTGATTAATAATCGAAGTTACCAAAAATATACAAAGACCTTTTTTCTTTACATTATTTACTGCATTATTAATTCTATGAAATAATTTCTATTTATAATAATTGAAATAATATATAAAAAAAAACTAAATTTCTACCCCTTTGAGGCACATGAAGGAGTTGATTAAAGGTGCTCAAAATTGATCAAAAATTTTTGTGTGCTGTAATAAACAAAATTCTGTTCACTTGACATCAAATTTATAGTTAAAAAATCACGTAGTACAAACTAAGGACGTCCCTAAAATACATATTAAAATTACAGTGTCGTTCTATATAGGACAAATTTTTGAAGTGTAAAAAAATAACGTTTTCGATCAAATTTATTTGTAAATTTTCGACACACAATATAAACACATACTTCTTTGAATAAAGTATTATTATAATTATATTATAATCTGTAGTATCCATTTTTGTTATTCATCAGTTTTTGGATACATGCCACACATATAATTTTTTCTTTGTTTACTACACAGAATGCTATAAATTTAACTGTTCAATCAAAAAACTTTTTAATCTTAAATCATATTTCTTGTATACTAATAGACGCAAACGCTTATAATTTGATTTATATTTACTGTCGGATTTTATCGGTCAATCATTATTAACAATTTTACTAGATCTTAACCCTTAAACAGTCGCGTGGAGGTCTAGCATATCCCCACATAAATAAAAACGGATGTATTATATTGCATAAAAGGTGTACATAGATATAAATTTAGAAGATGGTTTTTATAGTAATATTGAATAGATTTTCATAAATAAATACATTCGAAAAAAAATTGTATGACTTAAAATATCCATCAAAGTTGAAATGGGTCATATTGACCCCCACGTGACTTGTAACGTTATAATTTTTTTTTGGACTTGTATTTTTTTCAAAATATCGTTTTATCGTAAATGCAATGTTATAATCGATATAATATTGTGGAATTGGGATTATGTGAATCTGCCACCGACTGTGCCATTAAGTTTTAAAAATAAATCTTCTATTGAGATTTCCACTACTAAATAATACGGAACAAATACGAACAAAACATGTAATAAATACATCTTGTCGCTATCTGGGCACATTGATTATCGTTGCCTCATTTACAATTACTACTATTCACAATTACCCCTCCTGATTCTACTCGTATTATAATAATTAAATTGTATTGTAATGTTAATAATAAAAAAATTCAATTCAGAAAAATGATTATGTAAATGTAAATACACATAAAACTAATAAATATAAGCGGTGTTTGAGCTCAAAGAAATACAAGAAAAATGAATAAAAATACATTTTGTAATAGTAAAAGCTATTATTTACCGTCTTAAAAATAAGATTTTGCGGTTAAAATAATTTTTTTACAAACCAAAATTTTTAATGAAATTTTGAAAATTAAGTTTTTTTTTTTTCGTAATATAATTTTTAGTAATGCACATAATTTTGTAATTTATTTATTTTTTAATTTTTATCTATATTTATATATCATAAGGTAACAAATAATGTCTTTGAANTATATTTATATATCATAAGGTAACAAATAATGTCTTTGAATTTAAAAAAATGTACTTTTTTATACATATTTTATACTTTTTAGAAATGGGGTCTAATAGACCCCCACGTTACTATGAACGTTAAAAATAGGTACGCGCCTGCTTAAGGGCTAACAACAACTCATAGGTTACCATTAAAAAGATTATTAATGTATTCTTGTAAAAACTAAACTATCGATGAAGTTGTTTCAAAATCAAAAATGGGGGTTCATATTTATAAAAATAAAAGTTAAGATTTATTATCCTCGAAGAATTGAAAAAAAAATGATTTTACTTGAATATATTCAATAGTTTCTGAAAGTATGAATATCTTATTCTTTATTAATTATTTTTTGTTAAATATTTTTATAATTTAATTTATTTATATAAGATAAATAATGATTGAATGAAATAATTTTAGTTATTATAATTTTGTTAAATTTTTCCTTTTATTTATTAATAATTTTTGAATAAAATGCAGTTATAGGATAGACTTAAATAATTAAAGCCTCCAATAAATTATTGATTGCATAATTATTTTTAGGATCAAAATGCTCTAAACAGCACAAATTCACCATCGAATGTAAGTGTAAAAATTAATTATAATTAATTATAATGAAATAGGATTTATCTTTAAGAAATATAAACATTTAAAATTTATTTTGTTATATATTCTTAAATAAACCATATTAAAAATAAAACTATTATTAAATTACCTAGCAAGGATTTTGAAACGTTTCATTAATAAAAATAAGTAAAAATACATATCTTCTTTATTATAATTTTTTTAAATAGATATATGAAAAAAAAATAGTTTACATTTTATACAAACAATTTTAGTAATGCAGTATTAATAAGAATACTCTCCAAATATAAATAATTTAAAAAAATCATTATTTTTGTCTATATTATTAAGCTTCTAATTTTTCTAACCAAATAAGTTTAACTTATCAAGAAACTTTTTTTATTTTACATTTTGATACTGTTATGGATAAAATTGAGTTATTTGGGTCTTTGATTATTACTACGTAACTAATCGCTGTAAAATTAATACAAAATAATAAATAAACAATGATTAAGTTGTTTAGTTTATCACAAAAACAAAACGTTTCCAATTGTAATGGATATTATATAAAAATTATATTATTTTTAATTTTAATAAGAAAGGATCTAAACTTTAAAAACTCTGATTCAAAAAAACATTTAAATGTAAACCATATAAACTTAAAGTTTATTATTATATCCATTGCTAATACTTTTTTATTAAGAGTTATTTATTTTGTTAAAAGATCTTTATATGTCTTTTGAATATATTTTAATATAAATTCATAACATTTGTGCTTTAGTTCTTCCTTTAAATACTAAAATAAATATACAGAATCTCGTACGAGATCCTCAAAAACCTCGTAGGACATCTTATATATTTTAAAATGATTTTAAGGTTTTATTTAAGTATAGTTTTATAAAACACGCTTAAAATAAATTCCATATCATACTTTTTATTAATACTAAAATATAATATATTGAACTAGAAAAAAATTATTAATAAGAACATATATATGATTCTAAAGAAGTCTCTTTTTATATTTATGTTTAAATTAAATCTGTAATTCACTTATATTTGATATTATAGAATTTGGTGGTATATGTAACACGTTTGTATATAGAAAATGATACATGGCTTTCGTCTATTAAATATATTATTGCTGATCATCGTTTTCAACCAGTTGATTCAGAATGGAGAGAACATATAAGTAAGAAATTAGGATTTCAAACAGGACAACCATACGATGTCCAACAATCAAATAAAATATTAAAATCTCCGAAATACAATGAAGATGTAAAAGTTACTAAGGACAAAAACGAATTTTTTAGAATTATATCTCTTTTATTTAGTGGGATAGAAGAAAATTACGAAATTTTACGTAATAAAGTTTTTGAAGTAATTATATAAGATAAATATATGCCATAGTNAAGTAATTATATAAGATAAATATATGCCATAGTCATAATTAAGCCATATTAATCATTAATATAAATTAGATATTATCTCTTTAATTTAACACCAATTACTTTAGCCGCAGATCCGGCACCTAATCGCAGTCTAACTTACATCGTTGGACTGCACTCTTCATCCCTTTTGTTCACTCCCAATTAAGAAATGAGGTTAAGGCAATAAGCTTATACTAAAGTTTCATATGTGATCAGTTTGTATTCGACCCGTGTGATAATTTTTGTTAAGTTTTTTTTTTTTAAGTTCAAATACGTTTATAATTATAATTATAATTATTGAGAAGCCCTGTAATTGTGATTTATTATGTATTATTTATTATTTGTTATGAACTAAGTTNATTTATTATTTGTTATGAGTTAAGTTGGCACATAAAATTCACTATGAAGTGTTCACCAAGTCGGCACTTAATTATTTATCTTGTGCACTAAGTTGATACTTTAACTTTTATGTTTTGTTTTGTTTACTGTTGGCTATAAATAGGCAACATCCCCTTNTATTTATCTTGTGCACTAAGTTGATACTTTAACTATTATGTTTTGTTTTGTTTACTGTTGGCTATAAATAGGCAACATCCCCTTTATATTGCTAATTATTGTGACTCACAGTTACTATTTCACCAAATTTCCTATTTACACATAAATATTTGAATGATTTAGTCATTGCTTTCTTCTCTAGTACAATTTATTATTAGTGCCTAGTTGTCCATTGTTGTTCCTGTAATTTAATCTTTATTGTTATGTCTTAAAAGAATATTTATTAGTGCTGAACCTTTGTAGTTTATTTTTATACAGTTATAGTTTTTTAATCATATTTTGTGTTATTTGTTATTATTGTTCCAAACAGGAAAAGTTGATTATTTATTAAAACATATATTTTTATACATATTTATTTATTAGCATAAAAGATAGGTCGTCGGGACAAATTTTTTTTTTTTATTTTATAGTACATAAAATAAGCATTAATTTGATATATGTTTAAAGGACGCATTATTTCCGGAACATTTTCAAAAATTAAGTTGAAAAAGTTATTTTTTGTAAAAAAGTTACTATTTTAAATCCCCCCAGTGAGCAGAATAAGTGTTAGATTTTCAAAAAAAATTATATCAAATGAAAGGGAAATATCTAAGGTTTCAATACAAAAAAATATTATTTTTATTTGTTCATTTTTGAAAAAGTTATGGCAGTTTTAAGTACAAAAAACATCCCGATAAAA